TAAAACAATTTTAGGATATTTTGGGAACAGTTTCATCATAAAACACTGAAGCCATATATTTTTTCAATACATGCAAGTACTCCTAGGTACTTCTTGGAAAACAATGAGTAGAAACTCAAATACATTCTTAAAATGCTTTCTTCACAAATATTGCAAATGACAGGACAAGGAGCTTTTTTATTCCCCTAGAGTGGGACATCAGAAAGCATTGGTTTTAAATCATTAACAATATTTCCTGAGGGAGAATATAGACTTCCAGCCTGTGCCAGAATTCCGCATTACTACCCAAATTCAAAGATTAAGGGTGTGTTTTGCCCACATCCTACATTTTTGGGAACTCTAGCCCTGCCATTATGTAAGGTCTACTGAGAAGGATAACATGACTCTTCATCAGCAAACCCATATTCTTATCCATTATATATTTAAATATGTTCTTTGTTCTTTATTCAAAATGACAGATTATCACTCAAATTAACACACATCTATTTATGCCTGCTCTTATAAATGGTAGCACTTCCACAAGACAGAAGAATCTCTTGGAATGACCAGTATATTTGTTTCAATCATCTGCAGAGCCATAAAATGGGAAGGATCCAGAACAGGGGAGTAGCTGTTTTTAAATATGATATAGTTTTCCTCCCAGACCACTATCGAGAGCCTAGCACACTGCTGTATAGTATGGGCCTTTGTTGCGGCTTATATTTCCCACCTGTATTTCTTTTTCTTTTTCCAGCAACACTCTGTCTTTGTGCCAACTCCTAAATAACCATAAATTTTGTCCTTATAAACCTTAATGAATGCTTGGCCAAGATGCTGTAACTATTGGCTTCTACATTGGAGCATAAATGGAAAGGGAAAAAAAAGTGTGCACTGTGAAAAACTGGATAAAATGGAAAAAAGATCACAGCAAACTCAAAGTCGCAATTTGCCTTTAATGTGAAGGAGGCCTTGTTTTCACGGTGTGGCAGCTTTCAGGGGTTTTAATCTCAAAGTGGCTGATCAATTTAAGGTAAGTGGCAGGCATTTGGCCTGGTTCCCAGGCTTTGCTTTGCTGCTCTGAGAAAAGAAAGGATTCAGTCAGACACACAGACAACAGGCATCATCAGCGGCTCCCACATTCCAAGCATTTTAACACAGATTAGGTTGGCATGATTCTACTGTTTACTGAAATCTCCTAGGTGTTGCATTTTTCCTTCTCCTTGCCCTGGTTATCCAAGATGGTTTTCTCAGGTCAGGACCTTTATATGCCAAATAGCTTGCAGGGCTAGGAAGGGAAAAAGAAGAGCATAGGTCAAGACTTCTGATTAAAATGCTATTTCACTTGCTCACTGCAAAATATGAGACTTCAGGCAGCAGGTAATTGAGCACTGAACTTTTTGCCTTAGGCGTACATTGAGACAGGAACTGTATTACATGCATTCCTGAGGAGAGGAAAAAACAAAGATAATTTCTTTAACAAGGACAAACTTAATTCAGCTAGTAATGCCCAACGGATTAACAGGGTGATTTGTAGTTATTTTCTCTTCAGAATTTATAAGCATGAGCCTTACACATATGTTGAGCAATATTGTGACCAATATAGCCCATTTTAAAATTAACAGTTTCACATTAAATATTTTGTTTTTTCAAAATAGTTAATAATGAATGGACTCCACAAGTCCTTTACCACTATCTCATTTGCCTAGCAAAAGTGAATTTTCTTAATCTATTTGACCTATAACCTAAGTTAAATAAAATATGCATTCAGTTGATTAGACCAAAAAAATGTATAAGCTGTCTCTTACATGTTTCTGGCTGCATCATGCTTTATGGAAATTTTGTATTTTTAAATATTTTTTCACAGTTTTAAAATATACTTTGTACTACAGTCGAGTCAATCCTTTAATCATTCTCATGGCAGAGTTCCTCAATTTTTTTTCTCTAAAAGTTTTATCAAAATAAATAACTAATATGGATTTTTAAAAATAATTCTCTAGCTAGTAAACTTTTCAAAAGCAATGTCAAATCATTATACTCACTATACACAGAAATGCCTTCTTAATATTTCATAAATTTACATTGACATATTTCTTCTAAATCTAACATTGCTGTAATTGAGTAATTTATATTTTGAATATGTATTCTTATCTGTAAGCGCTAGCTTAGAAACTAATGCAATTATATGCATTTACTTTAATTTCAGTTGCTGTATATGCAAGTGTGTTTTTTAAAAAATAAATATGACTCCTCATTGATTAAAGAAAATAAAGGAAATAAATCAGAAGCAGATAGCAGCCATCCTTGTGCTTCTGATTTACATCAACATGTAATGCCTGGAACTGCAGCAGCCATCTTGCAGCCATGAACAGAGCTAGACTAAGAGACCTAGCTAGCATGTTGAGGATGGCAGACAGGGAAGATGAAAAGAACATGGTTCTCGTTGAGCCATAGAACCAACAATTGTGGGGCCACCCTATCAGGTCTTCTTATGAGATAATAAAGTCCCTTTTATTCACTCAACAGTATTTATTGAGCACCATGTGAGATGCTCTAGGTGCCCTGTTCAAGGTGCCTGGACTATCTCAGTAAACAATGTACACGTGAACCCCGCCTTTGTGGAACTAACATTCTAGCCTAGAGAGAAAATAAACTAAAAATATAAAATTCTACAGTATTTTAGGAGGCAGTAAGTGAGAAAAATGTAAACATAGAGCATGGTTAAAGGATTGTTGGGATCGAGGGGAAAGGTTTTGATGATGAGTCAAGGGAGGGTTGGTCAGCCTCACTGAGGAAGTAGATTTGAGCAAATGAAGGAAATGAAGGAGTTATTCTTTAAGGCAGTAGGAGATGGGTTTAGGAGGTTTTCATTTTCTTATTGTTGAAAATCCTCTAAATGAGAGAGAAAGGCGGAGAGAGAGAGAGAGAGAGAGG